TGTCAAAACTCACAGAACTGCTGACTGCATACCTGCTGGTTTTACTGTGTGTGAAGTAACGTGGTTAAAGCACAAGACCCTGACCAGCAGTGYGGGGCTAAGCGCTGGTCATGCAGGGTGTCAGCCAAACCCAAACGCTGCACAGTGCAGAACTGGAGTGTCCGCTTTTTGTAAAATAAAAACTTCTTTTTAACATTATTTTACATGCAAAGATGTAAAGGTTGGGCAGCTCGGGGTGGGGGGGGGGTTGGGGTGCCATTTTCTACATGATTGACTGCTCCTTGCCCCACGGTGGCCAGTTTGTCCCCTCTGAGCTCAGGTAGCACACCCGTGGACCTCTGGGTGTGCTACTCAGGTGGCCCCAAGTTGGGGCGCGAGATGTGCTGTGGAGGAGGCCCCCTCCCGGTGTCGCCCCAGTCACATGTGTCCACAGCTCCCTGCTGCAGGGGAACACCGGGTCTTGGGGACAAACGAGCTCGGTCCTGCCATGTGGGTTCCCTGCAGAGAAACTCGCCCATGAGGTGCGGGGGCTGCAGCCTTCCCAATACTTGGCCTCATGTCCCTCGGTGACCTCACCCTACCCAGCTGTGCTGAGGGGCTCTTGCCTGCATTCCCCACCATCGCCCCTGCCTCACCCCTGGCCAGCAGGTGGGTGCATTCTGGCTCAAATCCCACCAGCTGGGACTAGCCTCCTATTTCCCCTGCTGCCAACTGGCTGTGACATTGACAACCCTCTTGGGTGGAATGCCATAAGACCCAGATGGTGTTTTCTGCCCCAGGACCCTGCGTGCATTAGGGACCACCAAGGGTCACCAGACCYGGGGGGGCAGTCTGCAACTTCCCAGCCCCTCCTCCACCGGAACAGCCCGGCCAGGCTGCGGAGCTGGGGCTCTCAGTGCAGCAGAAGCAGGGTTGGGGAACTCAGAGGTGGGCCCAGGTCTGTAGCTGGGGGAGCCTCAGGGAAATGGAGACCTTCCTTGTGCCCACCCCTACCTTCAACCGTGGGAGCAGCCCTCCTCCCTGCTCCTCAGGCCCAAGGAGGGCAGAGGGCAGCCATGGGGAAGTGACAGAGAAACCCACATGGGCGGCTCAGAGGGAAGGAAGGTCTATTCAGAGGAACAGAGGAAGGGCGGAAGGGGTGGCGCTGACCTCTGCACAGGCTCCTCTGCAGGAGGTCAGTGCTGCAGCCCCATGCGTGCAACAAGTGGCTGCAGAGAACCAGGAAGCCCAGGCTCTGCGGAGAACAGACACACACAGGAGAAGAAACTAAGTCATGTGTGACATTACTCTTCTTTATAATCCCTCTTCTCATAAAACATGACATCATGTGTTTAACACACACTTAAACCGTTGCTAAAATCAGCAAGAGCTATTACAGTGTTCCAACTTAATAAGTTGATTTAAAAAGTTGTCCTGTGGCCAGTTCACAATGGAACCAAATAGCTTTGTTCCGAGGTGCTTGGGAGTTTCTCTGGTACCAGGCATTTCAGACAAACGGACCATCCAGTCTCAGTCCAGTGCACACAGTGACTGCCCCGTCAGCTCCAGGGAGGGCAGTAGAAGCCACCAGAGGAGGGCATCAGGCTCTCCTAGAGGTCTGAAGATGGGCAGGCCAAGGGGCTGCTCAGGCTGGGGCTCTGGCCAGGATGGTGATGCCAGCTTCATGTGAGGTGGTGACCAGTGCTACTTAGGCTGGGCCCAACACACCACCTGAGCCAGGACCAGTTCACCTGGAACTGAACAGACAACACTCCCAGGTGGTGCTGGGCAGTGCCCAGGAGTTCTTGGAAGCAGGCCAACCTGACAGGCCGGTGGGGCCCAGCTGGACACAGGCTGGACGCTGGCAGTGGGGCGCAAGTCTCAGAAGCGGCTTGATGGATGTACAAAGACAGACAAGGCTGTTCTGGTGGCAACTCACACACCTAGTCTTGGTGGCTAAGGTAGGCAGACGCTCAGGGAGATGGAGCAGCCTGGGGACAAGGCAGGGTRCCTCCTTCCTGAGCCTGGCCAGTTCCGGCTCCAACAGCCAAGCAGGAGTCACTTTGCTGCTGCACACGCCCCCAGAGAGCAGCGGGAATCAGAGTACTCTTCAGCCGTGCGACCAGTACCACAGGCCACAGAGGGACGGGCACTGGAGGAGGGGACTCAGCTCTGGGCATCGGAGCAGTTGCTGCGCTGCCTCTCCTACCCAGAGCCTTGCAGAAAGACCGAGCCCAGCTGGAAGCTACTGGYGATCTGCAGAGGGCGTAGCTGTCCTGCCTCACCCAGGAACATGACTAGACACAGTGCCTTCCCCAGGCCTGGCCCTTGCTGGGGCCCCAAAGCTCTAAAGCCAGTGGGCAATGTCACCTCAGCTAAGACCCCTGCATTAGGCTAAGAGAAGGAGAACACCACGCCCACCRCCAGCTCCATAGCTACCAGGGCGTGTCAGAGCCATTCTGCCAACAGAGGGGGCCAGCTGGAGGCTGGCAGGGGCAGCCCACGCCTCTTCCCCCTCCTACCAGCCTGCGCTCCTGCAGAGGGAACTTCCCCACGTGTAAGAACCATCTTGCCAAAAGATAAGATACTCAGTTGGCTCTTTACAGCACATAAAAACACCCATCAGACCAAGGCCACCCTACCCAGGGAGCCAACAGTGCTCAGCCACTGAAACCCCACGCAACCCTCRCATGGCACTCGGGGGCACAGCCAGGGGCCTACCCGGCCCAAACCTGAGGGTGCTGCAGGCTCACTCCACATTGTGTCCTCAGCTCTGCCAGGGTCCCGTAGGCCCAAGTCTTTCAAGTTAAGAGGCCACAGATGGGGTGCCTGTGGGACTTGGCTCTCCCACCTCTCCCCTGCCGCTGTGACCTGAGGTGTGGACGGCGCATGAGCGCCAGGCCAGCGTGTCCTCTGAAGCAGCAGGCACAGCCAGCCTGCCCTTCTCCTTGGCTCTTAAGACCCAGGCTCCAATGCCCACAGCCTCAGGCTGGTCGGACTGCAGTCAACTCATCCCACAGGAGGGCCTAAGGGTCCTGTGCCCAGACCAGACSCACGCCCAGAGATCAGGGATCTGGGTCACCCACGTCTACCTACCAGGGGAAACCGGAACTGACTCCACCAGTGACCCTAGGAACTAAGTACACTGACCAGACTCACAGGAACAGACTTTGGTTGCAAATATCTAAAGGGCTATAGCTCTGGAGCTCCAGCAGGTGTGAGCCAACTGGTGTCACCTATGAGCGGACACTGGCTTCCTTTCTGGTATCTCACAGTGGCTCTGATGAGGCCTGTRTGGGAACACAGACGTCTTCGGTTGTCAATTGAGATCACAGTCCAGTCAAGGCCAAGGTCAGAGGGCCAACATGGCAGGTGGTGGCCCCAAGCTTCCACCCGCACACCTTGGCCAGGCAGAGCTGCAGGTGAACCACCTTCAGGTGGCACAGGTGACAGGGGCACAGTGCATGGCTTCCGATTAGACCCCAGGCTGCGCCTGGCTGTTCCACTTCTTGGTTCAGACCARCCCCTGCCCGTCCAGCTTTCTCTGGCCCCCGTTTCCTAGTCACTAGGTGGGGAAGGACCAGCGGCAGCCAACAGCCAAGGTGGGATCTCAGGGAGGACCTGCTACAAGCTCTGAGCACTAAAGAGAATCAGGCTGCACAGGAGGGCCCCACCAAGGATGCTCAGCCGAGGAGGAGCCCAGGAGTGCCCGTCACCCTGAGAGGGACAAAGCGCCCAGTAGGTAGGGCTTGGCTGGTGGGAGGGCTAACGATATGCCAGCGGCGCTGTCAGTAGTTGAGACCTTCCCCRTCCAAGCACAAGATTCCCAAGGCCATTCTCAAGAGTTGGCACGTACAGAAACCATCCGGGCTGGAAGCCTGTCCTCAGCTGGTGGAACGCGCCCTTACGCCCTGAGTACACACCTCATAAACAGGCACCAAACTGTTTCTTGTACACAAAACATAAAAGCTACAAAGTGCCACCAGTGGCAGGAGACATGGCAAGAGCAGTGGCCTGCTATGGACATTAAACAGCCATTCCTTAAGTACACAGAAAATTCAAGTAATTTATTTAAAAACTGCTTAGCTTCATCTTGAAATATATATATGTATAAATATGTGTATATATATGCTTTAGAATGATCATATTGCAGCATGATTCTCATGCATCTTAAAGTACTTTATTTAAAAAACAACTCGTGGCAACACGAGCATTACAAGGTCTGGCTCTGTCTGGGTGGCTGCGGGGCTGCCCTCCTCCTCCTGACCTCAGTGAGCTYAGACCGACCGTTTCAAACAAGTGGACACGGCTGAGTTTTTCATAGAGATTGTGGTTGAAAACACTCCAGCCACCGCAGCGTTTGGTGACTGTTCTTCCCCACAGCTTGAGTTTTGCTGATTCGCTGAAACCAGGAATACCACGCCGAGCGGGGGCCTTGAGAAACACACTCGCTGACCCAGGAAGAGACACTTGTTTCTCTCTGCACTGGTTCCACGTCCAGTGACGAGCGTCCCGTGACGAGCGGGTAAGCAGCAAAGAAGCCGCGAGAGTTCAGATGAGCTCCAGCAGGGAGTCCGACAGCAGGTGGGCCAAGGCCACCACCCACACACGCGAGGTAGTCTGGCCAGGGCTCCCAGCACATGGCAGAGGGGACAGAGGGCCCTGGGACTGACGATGGGAGCAGCCTGCAGGCGGCGGGCCTGGGAGGGCATGCCGGGGTCTGGACGCAGACACACACAGGTGCCAGCTGATCTGACATGGCCGCTCTGCCAGCAGCCACCACTGGGCCTCCCAGCTCGGGTGTGTGGCTGCCAGAGCGGGCAGTTGTCCCAGCCCAGGCTCACCCCAGGCTCGATTCGTCAGACTCTCTGAGGACGAGATGAGACGCTGTTCTTCTAAGAAAACCACAGTTGTGAAGGAGAAAAATAAACTTTAAAAAATGCTCATAAAGAAAAATACTCTCCAACAGCTGGAGCACCAACAAAATGTGACAAGACCYGATGGACATCCACACCTGAGCGCCAGTGAGGGTCGTCTGGTGTACGTCCCCGTCACCAGCTGCACTGTGATTTTCTGACACAGTATGACAAGATATGTCAAGGACGTCAGAGTTTCTGCATTTTCAATTATAATTTTAGAAATGCAATATCTTTTCTTCTAAATTGCTTATTGGCTATATTGTTTTACAATTTAAAAACATGCAGAATAATATACCTGCAGAATAAAAGGTGAAATTAAAAGATCTTTTTCAATTAAAAAAAAAAAAGATTTCAAATGATTTTTTTTTTTTAATTGTGGAAAAAGTAATTAGTGTGATATCTTTGCCTGAAGAGCTCAAACCTACCCCTACAACTACGGAATTTCGACTGTTCTGAGAAGGACCTCTGCTTGCGCTGGCCTGGAAGCCCCAGTGAGGACAGGGCCCAGCAGCCCCTGCCCACGGTCTCCCACACGGAATATGCCAATGGAGTGCTCAGACCATAGACTCGGTCTCCACCAGCCCCTGCAGGCCCTCCTTCCGCGACAGCTTCAGGACAGTGGGCTTCTCACTGCTCCCGCGGCCTTCACCTTCCAGGGCAGGCTGGGAGGACAGAACTTTCTGCTCATCCTTGGCCTCCTCCGACACCTCAGGATAGATYACCAGGAACGTGGCCGTCAGGAAGCCCAGGAAAGAGCCCACAGAGGCCACCATTGGGATGACACGCACAGTTCCCACGGCATCCACCACACCCCCGAGGGCGGACGCCACCAGGATCTGGGAGATGTAGACCTGGCAGGAGAGGATGGCGCAGTCGATGCCAAACCCACGCTTCGAGTTCCCAGGACTGTGGTGAACGTACTAGAAGAGAAGAGAATTCAGAGTGAGGGGTTCCGGGGAAGGGAGACCTGCCGGGGTTTCAGAGGTGTGACCCTGCTGAGGGGTCTGCACACAGCCCTGCCTTCCTCTCAGCTTCCAGGCAGCTGCTCCTGCCTGGGCCTCCCGCACCCCAGCTCTGACTCCGCACCACGCAGACAGGAGACGGGGGATGTTCTTGCTCCCTGGAGGGGAGAGGTGAGGAAGCAGCTTTGTCAGCCCCATCCATCAGAATACAGGCTCCCTGGGGCCCAGCCTCTAGTCCCAAGGAAGGTCAGCAGGGCTGACTCTGCCCACTCAGGGGGTCTCCAGTGAGGGCTGGAGGGCAGGGGCTCCGAGTCCATGCCAATGCTTCCCACAGCRTTCTGAATGCACTGACACTTAGATCATACTAACAGGACACGGGGCTTCATCTGTTTCCTAAGACACAAGTGAACCCTGGTGCATAGACACTTGTGGTCACACTAAGTGACCACATATTCTGATGGAGGCAAAGCAACCTTGATGTGTGTGTACCATGACTACAGAGGGAGGTTCCAATGTACCTTTCACAGAGTTAGTGGACACAGGACGGAAAGGAGCAGAAGAGCTCAACACACTCAGGGCACTAAGCACAGGACACACTTTCTTTCCAAGAGCATAAAGAATGTTTATAAACATTTGTGACACACTGGGCCACAAGGGGGGGCCCAATTAATTTTAGGGGCTGAAGTCATGTAAGATTGTCTTCTGACCTTGAGGAATTACACTAGAAACTGGAAAATCCACCATATGTCAGAAATTCATCAACATACTTTAAAATAATTCATGGTTCAAAACAGAAATCATCACAAAAATTAGAAAATCTTTTAAGTGATTGAAACTCAATGAATTACAACTTCCCAGAGTGTAGCTCAAGCTGTGAGTAGAGGGAAATTAGTACCCTTAAGTGCAAATACTCAGCTAGAATCAAAGAAAGAAATTAGAAGATAGCAAATTAAATTTTAAAAAATAACAGAAAGCAAAAGACCYGTAAAGAGCAGAAACAGATACAAAGTGAACACGTACCACAGAGGACCGAGGGTCCAAAAAGCTCCTGGAAACAGACTCCACTGATTCCCAGACAATATCAAAAATGGTAACGATGCTACTGCAGTACATTGTAAGGAAATATTCTGAACAATTTAATGTAAATATATTGGAAATTTCGGATGCAATGGATGAATTTCCAGAAAACCCTGACTTCTGTAGTGAGACGTGAGCACTCCTGGCTAGAGTTTGAACAAGAAAACAATGACGGCACTTGCACCCAGCCTCACGTTGGAGGTACTAGTCGTGACTAGAAGGCAAGGAAAAGAAAGAAAACATACCACGGTTAGAAAGGAAGAACTAAAACTCTCATTACACACAGCTAATGTGGTTTTGTATGCAGAAAATCAAGAGAATTCATAACAGAATAACATATTTGTGCACAGGAGGGCTTGGCTCTGCCACGTTATCAATCGGTCYCAGGCGGATGCATACGGGTAAAGGCGTACTCAAAAGCTCAGAGTGGATGAAAAACAAATGGTTAAGAGAAGCCAAGACACTTCTGAAGAGCCAGAGTCGCTTCACTCAAGCCAGCATGGCACCTGTCCCAGGAGAGGAAGATGACTGGCCAGCACCCAGCCACCTGCGGGAGGACACACGGCTGTCTCCTTTGTCCCCACCTCAAGCCAGCCACAGGATCAGATGGGGCATGAAAGACCGTGAAGGCATAGGGAGGGGTGCTCACTACTGCAGTATCTCAAACAGCTCCAAACCGGAAGAACCCAAGTGCCAATCAGGGGGCGTATCAGAGCCCATCAGGGCACGGGGATTAAGAGCACGCAGAGCTGCTGGCAATGCACTTGTCACAAGAAGGAGGTGAAAGAAAGAGGCCAGATGGGAGAGGACAGTGCTAGAGGTCAGGATCACGGTCACCTTCAGAGTGAGGGCAAGGAGGCCAGGGATTCTGGCTTGGATTAGATGCATCTATGCAGCTACTCAGTAAATCCACTTTGCTTGGACCACTGTACAAGACACTGGGAGTAAGCACAGTTGAGGCTCAGGCAGGAGAAACGAGCACCTCCTTTCCCCTCAGAAGTGTACAGTGCTGGACAGTCATGGTCCGCACCCATGCCCAGGTGTATGATGAACTCTGTACTAGGGCAGATGACTATGCTTGATGGGTCTTTCAAGCAGGGCAGGGAGTGACCCTCCAGGGAGCACTTCCAGAAGCCTCTTGGCAAGACTGGCCTACAGTGCTGGAGGGATCCTGTGGCCAGAGACTGACCAGGGCAGGCAGCAGCTGAAGGCTTCTGGGAGTGGAGATGGACAGCATAGTCTGGGATGGGGATGTCCCTGGCTGGAGTGTGGCTCCCTAGGCCTCCTTTTTGCCACCCCTACCCCAGCACCCTGGGGATGGACGTACCTCCTTGACTTCATGGTAGTGTCCCAGCAGGGCATAGGGGCAATAGGAGATGCTCATGGAGACAATGCCCATGGTGCTGATGGTGACCATGGCCACATAGACATTGGGGAACATGGCCATCACAGCTGTGCCTGCAGAGAAGCCCAGTGTCCCCAGCACGTAGATGACCTTGATGCTCAGGTCGTAGTTGTCCAGGTACTTCTGTAGCAAGGCTGCAGAGAGGGACCACAGGGACAGGGATGAGCTCATCGCTCCTGTCCTGTCTCCTCCAACATGGCTTCCTCCAGCTGAAATGGGGTCTGGGGTACAGGTACTGCCTGCTCCTGAATGCATCTGCAGTCTTGGATCTGCCTGGCCCCCCGTGGCTCTGGCACCTCAGCAAGGCCAGCAGCTGGCCCTTCCGACAGCTCTGGGCCTCCCTGACCTGCCAGAACACTCTCGCTCGCCTGACCCAGCACTACTTTGTTCTCCTGACGTGGGCAGCCCAGGTCGTCRTCTCAGGACCTTGCCTTGCACCACCCATCCTGACCTGGTGGCTTAGATGACACCTCCTCCAGGAGGTGCCTCCCAAGCTCCTGAGAATTCCTCTACCAGAGCAGCGGCAACAGCTGAGTCACAGCTGCTCCAGTGCCTGGCTGACCTCGTGGCATTTACCTTAGCCACCCAAGTCCACTCGAGGCTGGTGTAAAGCTGGCCTCCTCCCCAGGGTTTAGACAGTATGGGTAGGCAAGGGGACCCTGACCATGATCATGTCTAGTCCCAGAGGTTGAGCTGAGCATGCTGCTCCTGGGGTGGGTGCCTGTCACCCCACCCTATCCATCAGGATAAAGCTGTGCCTGTAGGTAGAGGCCTCATGCTCATGACAGCCTGGACCCTGCTCCTCCTGCTGAGCCCTGGGCAGGAACCGGCAGGACCCAGGACAGCCCAGACAGAGGTGCGGTCCATATGGACAGCATTGTGGGACAGCACAGACAGCCTCCACAGGCTCTCAGAGACATCCCTTCCTAGCACAGCCAAGAGCAGCTATTCCCACAGCTTCTCACCTGCCCAGACAGAAGTCAGTGTCCCACAGACACCTGAGCCTTATGAGATACGGGATCCCCTCATCTGACTGCCGAGAACTCTCTAGGGCTACAGCTTACCTGAACTGGACACCTCTCACCTGAGCAAATAGCACCGGTAGCAGCGTAAATGACCAAGCCCCAGCAGCCCATCTTCACCCCAGCGTTGTAGGCGTGCCAGGCAGTTGAGTTGGAGGCGTCCTGTTCGGAAGGAGACTGGGTAAGCAGGGCATAGGCTGCGTGCTCAGGACAAAGGGGTGATTCTGCATTTCAACTGTGGCTGACTGTATTTCAGGAGGTGAGAAACACTCCAGCAAGGAAGGGCCCTCCCTGGTCCACAGGAGGTAAGAAGCGCTCCAAGCAAGAAGGGGGCCCTCCCTGGTCCAGTCTTCAGTGGGTCAGTGGTTTCGGGTCCCTCCTTGCCACATCTGACTCTGTAGCTCAGAAACCCAGGGGTGACCCTGCCCTCTTTAAGCCCCAGGTTAGACCTGAAGAGGAGTGGACATGTGGGCCTGGTGTGTGTTGATCTCTGAGGCCCTCCTGACCAGGTAGCAAACACAACACAGGGTGTGCCCTACTGGTACCACAGGGGCTGGAAGAACCGCCAGCACAGCTGGCATGAGTGACGCCAGATGGTCACCTGAACTGCCAGGTTGGGTGAGCTTGGCACAGGGCGGCAGACAGCTGAAGACAGCCTCACTTGGGCTTCTCAAAGTGCGCCTTCCTGGTGGAGTGCCAGGCGGGCATGACGGCTCCCGGGGCCCCATGGTGACCTGCTTCAGGCTTGCACAGCGCCTGGTCCACGTGGACGGGGCAGTGAGGGCAGGCTTGGCAGAGGCCCTATTTTCATTCTCAGCGTGCCACACTTCCTCCCCACCACCCCACGCTCCCAGCCGCCTGCCCAGGTGCTCACCTTGGGGTCCCCTTTGAAGATGACCTGGCCCATGAAGTCGGTGTAGAAGACGGCTTCAGCGATGACAGAGAACCAGGTGAGCAGGTGGCAGAGGCACAGCCGCTTCAGCTCCTTGGGCATTTTGAGCATGGACAGCCACAGCAGGCGCACGGTGGTCTCACTCTCGCCCTCCTCGCTCTCTGTGTCCCCGCTGGAGGTGGTGGCCCCGCTCTGGTTCCGGTGCCGACAGCGCTGCCGCTGCCTCTGCTGCAGGTCGTAYAGGTCGCTCATGCTGCGGGACGGCTTGATGAGCACCACGGCGTTGGCCCGCCGGTAGCGGTAGCAGTGGGACCCGACCTTGCCGTAGTAGGAGAAGGTGCTGGAGGCCTGCCTGCGGAATGCATGCCTCCGCCGCCTCATGGAGCCAGATGTGGCCGAGGGCTTCATGCCTACCCTCACGTAGCCAAGGGGGTCCCTGGGCGGAGAGCCACTTCCGTTTGGGACTTTAACTTCATTCAAGTGATTATCAAGCAAGGTCTCGTCCTCCTTGGCCGTTTCCCTGAGGAACGTGGACAGGCGGGGCAGTGTGGCCTTCAGTAGCTCCTGGCTGGTGCTCCGGGGGGTGTTGGGGCAGGAGGTGTCATGGAAGATGGAGGGCTCGATGTCGTGCAGGAAGAGCAGCTCAGGCTCCATGTCCAGGGCAGCATCCGGCACGTGCAGCACAGAGTCACTCTTACTGCGCACCAGGTCCACGTCCAGGTAGTCCAGGGGGAGCTCGTGCTCCGACTGCACCTCGTCTGGGAACAGGGGGCTGCCGTCTTGTGCAAGGCCAGAGGTGGGGGCCAGGGCACCACTGAGCCTGGTGCTGGGCAGGGCGGCCTCCTCCGAGCTGCGGTCCTGCTGTGGGCAGTACTGCTCCTCCTCGATACTGAAGACATGCAGGGCCACTGACACCGTGAAGACGATGGCAGCGAAGAAGAAAAGCACCTGGTTCTGTGTCCGGAACCAGCTGCCCAGGAAGGTCTGCGTCCAGTCCAGCCCGCCCAGCACATAGCCAATGGCCCCGCCGAGGCCTGGTGGGGAGAGCAGGGGTGAGCCAGTGACCACTGCGGCCCCCATCCCCAGGCCCACCCTGAGTGAGTCAGGACACAGGGGCTGGGATGGAGTACAAGATGGTAGTGGGGGCCAGGAGGGAGGGGACAAAACAGGGGACCCTGACTGTGGAACTGAGGACTAGGGTCTCACAAATCCCTGCTTAATTAACTAAATGCAAACTACTCCCAGATCTGACATGGCCATAGGCTCAGGGTCCTCTACTGGATGCGTGTTGAACTGCCTGGCGGAGGGCAGAGATCAGCATGGGGCCTGCCCATCTGCCCTGTGAGCACGTCACCCCAGGCAGGACTGGCCTGACACTCTGTCCCCATTCCTGCCYCTTCATCCTGCTAGGGCTGCACACAGGGCAGCAGAAGCCCACCCCGTCCCGGAACCCTGGCAGATGACTGAGGGAGGCCGGTCTGCCCCAGGCAAGGCGTTACCAGCAGAGAAGGCATGGATGTTGAGGGCCATGTCCTGTTCCTCGCTGTCCACCACATCCAGCAGGTAGGCGCGGATGGGCCCTTCGGTCGCATCAGCGCTGAAATCCAGGACCACCACTCCCAGCACTGTGAGAACGATGCCGATGGGCTGCCGGGTGGGGACATCACCAAGGGCCAGACCTGGACAGAGAATGGGAGGGGGTGATCAGACTGCAATACCTGCCCCGTTGGACTGGGGAGCTAGYAGTCCCCTGCAGGGAGGCGGCTGGCACAGTGGGACCTCTCCAGAGCAAGAGCCTCGTTCTTTGGCAGACCCTTGGGAAAGAAACGAGCTGCTTCTTCCCGCCGTGTGGCATGTGGGGAGATTCTTCCAAAAGGCTCCGGGCCCTGTGCTTGAGCAGGAAGGGGAGCAGGCCGGGCTCACTGGACCATTGCTAAGGGTGGCCTCCTGCTGGGAGTGCCAGCTAGTGCCAGCTAAGCACTGCCATTTCGGCTTCTGTGAGAAAAGCATCTCCTTGCCCTTCTCAACAAGAACTGATACCGAAGGCCAGCCTCCAGGCCGCCTGTGGCCCCGGAAGGCCAGCCCCCAGGGCCAGCCCATGGGCTGGAAGACCTCTGACGCATGCTGAGAGGGCCCCTTGGGCTTTCTGCCTGCTGCCTGTACCAGCCTGGCCCTGGAGGGTGCAGCCAAGAGGGACCCAAGTGGCCACGCACCCTGGTCCCAGTCCTATGGAGATAGCGTGAGCCTGCAGGAAGCTCCTCAGGGGTCTACCCTGACCCAGACATCAAACTGCCCTCCTGTCCCCGATGCCTGACCAGCCAAACTGGGCCTCATGTTCCCATGAAAAAAGCACACCCTCCTGTATGAGGATCAGAGGGCATGGGGTGGGATTGAAGCCTGGGGCCCAGGACTGGCCCCACAGCACTGTTCGGCCAAATCTGGACAAATTGGTCCATAGGAGGCACAGAAAACGGGGTTTCTGCCAGGAAGCACCCCACTGGCCTCAGACTGCAAACAGTGACAGCACCCAGGTTGAGGGCTGGAGCTTCTGGGCTGGCTGTGTTTGGCTATATGTGATGGGGCTGTACCCCAGACATGGCCCAGGAAAGYCACCCTGCTATCGGAGGACCTCCCTGCTCATGGGAAAGGGGAGACTAAGCCCAGAGCCAGCAACAGGCATGGGAGGCAAGCGGCCCCAGGGCATCTGTACYGGGCCTGGGCTGGCTGGAGGACGCTAGGCTCAGGAGGTGGGCAGGACCAAGCCCACAGTCCCACCTGCAGCCAGGCCCATTGAGTCAGTAGCCCTCCTGCACCAAGGTTCCTGGCCCCGCACCCGACCTCAGGCGAGTCCCTCTCTCCTTGGGCGTGCACAGGCACCTCCACCTCAGGATGTGCGGGGAGCTCACTACCCCATTTGACAAATGCCCTCAAGGCAAACACACTTTCCCACACATAGTTGCTTTGATTAAAAACAAAACCACCACCAGTAAAAACAGCACGTGAGAGCCTGAAACAAAAAACAAGTATCAGACCAGCTCTGGACGCTTTCAACACCAACTCTGAGAAAAGGAGAACAAAAAGAGAAGAGATAATTACTGAAATAAGCTGGAAACAGGACGTGGTGTCAGATACGCATGAAAAACAAACAGTCGGTGGGCAGGAAGCCTTTCCCTGTGAGCAGGTTCCTCCAGCTTTCCCACAAGGCGGCTCCAGCAGCCGCCTGGGCCTGGCCACCGCCAGGGGGCCAGAGTGAAGTCCCCGGTCTGCACAGGGTGCGCAGCAGCACTCACCTATGGCAGAGCCRTTGAGGAACAGCGCCACGCCCACGAGGACGCCCACACAGAGTGCCAGGATGAAGGGCCGGCGGCGGCCCCAGCTCAGGGTGCAGCGGTCGCTGGCAGAGCCGATGAGCGGCGTGAAGAGCAGGCCGAGGACGGGGCTCAGGAACCAGGTGAGACTGTAGTACTGCTCCGGGAGCCCTGGGGGAACACGTGGTGTGAAGCGGGCATGTGCCCACGTGCAAGGTTCCTAGGGCACACCTCCTCCTGAGGGAGGCYAGGCGAGCCAGGGGCCTTGGTGTGGGTGACCAGGCCCACCTGCTGCATACAGTACCAGGGCAGCACACACTGGGCGCAGCTGTGTGGTCCGGCTATGCGTGCCACAGGTGCTGGGGCAGCATGGCCTGGGCAGACGCTCCAAGCTGCTGGTGCTGCCAAGTGCCAGAGGGCTGATGAAGGCCCTCGGGGCACCAGAGGTGGCACCACGGTAGGCACAGACTCTGGCTTCTCCCTGAGGGGCACACGAGGGGGACACATGGGCTGCCACTGGCCACACTACCCCGACCACCCTTAACGATGCTCACGTTAGGAATCCTCTCTCCAAAATAGCTCTTGACCAAACCTATTTAGAGTGAGGCTAAAAACTCAGAGAATGGGAAACACATCACCCCCACAGACTGTCACAGCTTCATGACAAGTGTCGAGTCCAAATTGCATCCCTGTGCTCAGCACCTCCCTGCTTCTCTCGATGGGTCCTGCACCCCTGGTGCAGGCCTCCAAATAGCTGGGGTACCCTCTAGCACCCCATTGGCTCTCACGTTCATGCCAAAAAGAAGCACTCACCTGTCACTGTTCAAACTCCTGGTGGGGGGGTGGGACACYTGTTCAGGAGGCCCCACACCCACTTCCTGCCCTGCCTGCAGCATCGCCCACCCTGAGCACAGGGTGCACTTTGGAACACCTGAGACACCATATGCACTGCCGACAGGCTGTGGCTCCCTGGAGATCTGTGACAGCTCACCTGCAGCCCTCTCCCCTCCCAGCCTGGAGCCAAATGACACCCACAGAGAAAAAGGCTTGCTGACCCAAACCATACAGAGATGCTGGCCAGGGAGTGTCAGTCTGCCCTGTGCAGAAGTCACCTCTCTGCTCAGCCTCCAATAGCCTCAATTCCTTTTCTAAGACTCCTACTCTGTCCCTGCCATGCTGCTCAGGGACCCATTAACCAAACTCTGATCCTGTCTTGGGCTGTGGCTGGCCAAGCCCTCAGTGCAAATCCTCGGGTGCACTCCACTTCGAGGCCTTGCAGTGTGGTCTGTTACCAAGTCCCTTCTGAGACCAGGTTTTCCACAAATCAGACCTTTCCCAGTGAGACTGAAGTGCCACCTAAGGGACCCTGTGGCTCCATCAACCTGGACACACACACACCTGGCACATCAGTGTGCAAGTTACAGCAGACGCATTTGTTTGATGCTGGTCCAGCTGCATGGGATGAGCAGACATGAGGGGGACCTGTTGCATGTCCCCCTGGGTAACAGCAGCAGGCCTGGTGCTGGGCCTGGCCTAGGCAGCCTCCAGCCCCCAGGCCACCACATGGGCTGAGAAGCCGGCCGTGGAGAGATGTCATATGACTGTGCTGCTCAGGGTGGCTGACAGGGTTGGGAGGCCACACCATTCAGCCAAGGGAAGAGGAGTGGACAGGGGAACTGGGCTGTGGGCGAGGCAGGAGCGGGTACCTGAGCCCATGGAGGGTGGGGCTGTGGGGTCGCAGTCTTCAGAGGGGGACACAGGCAGTCCGGCAGGTGCTCTCTCCCAGCAGGTTGACAGAGCAGGCTTTGAAGGAACAGTCCTGCCGAGCCTGTGTGCCCCACACGCTTGCCCCCACATCAGGGCAGCTTGCTCAAGTCAGGGCTGTGCCTGGGCCCGAGGAACACACTGCTCCTCCTCACACTTGTAGGTGTGTGTGGCTGGTAGGAGGCTGCCCAGGGCAGGGGCAGGGGCAGGGCTCCAGCGTGGGCTCTTCAGGGCCCAGGTGTCGGTCATCACTTGTGCTATCTGCAGGAGCTCACAGGCGCACCCAAGTCTCAGCTCCTCCTCGAGAGCTATGGCTAGCAGATTCTGCCATCTATTTTTGTGTGGCCTTCCAGTTAAGAATGGATGTTACATTTTACCAAGTTGAAAAGATCAAAGTAAACTATTTCCTGACATAAAAAGCTATGAGATTCAAAATCTGGAGTCCCCAGGTTAGATGCTGCAGTTTGCCGCCAGCCCGTCGGCTCCCCAGCTGCACTCTGTCTGGAGGCCCTTCACCTGAAGGTGACAGCCACCCCGCCGAGGCACCCCTCTGCCAGCTGGGTCTTCACCAGTCCCCCTCTCACGGCACTTTTTAAATACACGGTATATAAATGGCTCTTATTTTTCTATGCATCTTTGTTGGCATATTCAGTTTACTTACACTTAACGTAATTATGATTAGGTTGGAGTTAGGTCTACCATTTGCTATTTGCTTTCTGTCTGACCCCCCTTGTTTCTTTGCTTCTCTGTTCCTATTTTCTTTTGATTAACTGAATATCTAGGCAAATCCCAATATTCTGTAGCCTTCAGTGGTAGGTACTTTCAGTGATCACTACAGATATTATCTATCAAACACTTACAGCCCACTCAGTGAACATGATAATACATAACACAGACCCCACCATATGCTTTTGCTTTTACCAGTTGTATCTATTCTAAAGGAATCCAGAAGAAACAATCGTATATACCTACACATTTCACCATTTGCAGGACAATTCCTTCCTTCTTGAAAGATCTGTTTCTTTGTACCTGAAGACGCTTCTTTGGTTTATTTGGCATTCCTTAAAAAGCATCTGCTGATGCTTTTTTTTCAGATTTGGACTCTGAAATCTCCTATTGCATTTTTATTCTTGAATATTTCTGCTGGATACAGAGTCTGGGCTCCAACCCTCTTCACTGAGAACCCTGAGGAGGGTTCCCAGTGGTGCAGCTCCACTGTGTCATTCAAGGAGGCTGTGCCCTGCTCACCATGCGCAGGGCTGCTCTCCAGAGCCTCCTGCTGTTGCTGCTTCTCAGCAGTGTGGCTCTCATGGGTCTAGGGAAGAGGTGCTTGACACGTACCGTGCTCGGGCTCGCCCGCTGGACTTCACAAATCTGTAGATTTACAACTCTTACAATGTTGTGATGATCTGTTCTCTATTTCTTCTATTCTACGACTCCAATTATAGACTATCATACGTGGTTATATGCATACAACACACAGACTGACTCTTTGATACTGTCCCCGTTTCCTCAGGCTCTCTTCATCTCTCTTTACGATCTTTATTCTCTGTCCTTTGCTGTGGATGATCTCTACTGAGGAATCTTTAGGTCTCCTGTCTCCAATCTGCTCTTAATCCTACTGGTTAACTTTCAATTCGGATGTAGTATTTTTTGGTTCTCGAGTTTGTCAGTTTCCCCTCTTACACTTGTTTCTGTGCTAGAACTCTACATCACGAGYGTGTTTCCCTTCATGTAACAACCAGTCACGTGGGCCTCCTGACAATCCCAATCTGATCCTCCCCTGGGGTCAGTTTCCCCTGCTGCCTTTTCTCTAGAGTAAAGGGACATTTCTTTTTTAGTTTTTCAGTCCTTTTTCTTTGTGCCTAGAAATACTGTGGGGCTGGGGACATAGCTCAGTTGGTAGAGTGCTTGCCTTGCATGTACAAGGCCCTGGAATCAAAAAAAAAAAAAAAAAAAAAAAAAAAAAAAAAAAAAAAGGAAAAAGAAATGCTGAATTGTGCCCTAGACATTGCGAACAGTGTGTCACGAAGACTTCATACTCTTGTTATGTTCCTTCCAGGACTATCGATATTTCTGCTGTACACAATTACCCGAGCTGGACTCAAACTTCAGAGCTCTGTTCTCCCCGCAGAGTGAGACGGCAGAACTCCGTGCAGTTCTACCAGCTGCAGCTAYGCAGCCTGAGATCTGGCTATGAATGTGCACAGGCCATTCAGGAAGCAAACAGAGCCACAAGCAGTGTACACGCGAGGCTTGGGTCCCTCCCTGCGTCTTTGGTTCCGTGAGACAGGAAGAGGGCTGGCAGCTGCCATGTCTTCGCCACCCTGTGGCATGACTAAGGAATTTTCAGTTCAAGTTGGAGAGAGACAGAGAGACAGACAGACACACCGGTCAGCCCATACCATTCCCTTCTTCCAATTGCCCCTCCTCTTCCAGGTTCTGGCCCTCTGTTGTGACTCTACTGCCTTTGGGGAGTCTTTCTTTACATCCTGTCCACAATCAGCGCCCGTTACCTGTGGGAGGGCTACTGCAGGTGCTTCTCTGTGACCTCTGGCTGCCTGACCCTTGGCAGCCATTATTGGCCTCATGGACTCTGTGTCGTGACCATCTGCCTTCTGCCCTGCTTTGTCACACTGCAAGCTGCAGAGAGAGGCAACMAACATGTCCTGTTCCCTTAAACCAAACTGTGTCATGCAGCAACTACCAGCTCTCTCTGCATGCCACGCTGCCCTGACCTTCTGACTCAGGGTAACTGGTAAGTGGCCAGCAGGTAGGGTGAACTGCAGTCACTGACACAGGCCAGAAGGGAGACTGGTGGCAGGGACAGCTCTCCATGACCTACCGATGGTGATGATCTTGTGACAGGATTTACAGAGCCTGGTCACATGTTACTGTGTTCTCACAATCACTACTGAGGCTTACATTACGGTTCCTKCTTTTCTGGTGAGGAGAGGAAGGCTCAGAGAGGTGACCTGCTGACATAGTGACAGTCCAATGAATGGCCTGACAAAGATAATCCGCCAGCACCCACCATCCCAACACCCCTTCTCAGCTCTGCGTGGGTGCAGCCACTTGAGGGCCAGCAGCAGCACCAGGACTGGTTCGAATCTCGAGCTGGGGTCTGGAGACAGGTCTGTTACCTCCTCTGTTACACCTGGGCCAACTGGCCAACCTGGCAGCTTTGCTACTAGCGGGTCTCAGGGCTGGAAGCCTAGGCTCAGGAAGTGGCTGGGAAGGTAGGTGTTAAGGCAGAAGGAGGGCAAGCTGGCACCAGGAGGATGGGCGTAGACACATGCCACTCATCCCCTTCCCACTGAACACTCTCCATGTAAGAATAGAGATACACCAGGCTCCCTGGCAGAAGCTCCAGCCAACTTCAGCCTCTCAGGTTGAGGTCAGTAGGG